TATATATATATATATATATATATGTATATATATATGTATATATATATATATATATATATATATATGATGCTCGTGCAGTTTTAAGGAACCTGAGAAAACATGTATCACTTTTGTGCTTGCCGTTTATGGCAGAAGTTCATATTTAGATTGTGCAGGGAGCACAAATGAAATTTGACGCACAAAAAAAAAAAAGAGTGCACGTTGCTCACATTTGGTGAACTAAATGGGCACGTTTGCTTCGGTACATATTTAGTGCTGTTTGTTTGCTGAATGTGAGATGAAGTAAATATTGGGTGCAAATGATGTGCCAAACGTGGAGCAAAAAAGCATGTGCTGCAAGAACCAGGACCAAATGCATTATTGCATGCTGTTTTTTGAGGTTGCTGATATATATTTTTAAACATCTTTTGTAAGATTCCATAAATAGTTTTCACCCATTGTCATAGTTTACCGGTAATTGTTATTTATCTTGTTTCTATCAATGAAAACAGAAACTCTACTTTCTCTGTCCTGCTAACAGAAGGCAGCGTTGGCACATCACTGAGGAATTATTACCTGGATTGTTCCTACTTTTAGCAACAATACAAAAGATCATTCCTGGAATTCAAACCTTTCAAGCCTCTTTCTAAACAGCCAATGATCAAAGTCATGCATCCTATTTGTCCGTTATCTGTGTTTGAGCGAATGTGTGACTTGTGTGCGTGTCTGTAAGCATAAGAGAGAAAGTTGTCACACTGCCTTCTGCCCCTCCTGTCAGTCTTTATAGTGTGCCCTTTTGTCTGTCTCTGTGTGTTTATGTGTGTGTGTGTGCGGGTGTGTGTTTGGCCTGGTTCCCACTGCAGATTATTAATTAAGTTCTGGTAAGCGGTGCATGCTTTGCCTTCAGATCTGCTTCCACTCTCTTTACCACACCACATACACAAAGTATCTGTACACACATACGCACGCACACACTTACTTCAAAGCAGCTGCACTCCACACCGCTAGGATTAAGAGGCGATTGAAGAGCCTGATACAGCCTCAAAGTGCCTTCAGCACAAAAATGCCTTTGGCAGGGCACAGGTAGTCTCTTTGAGAATTCCTACAAACTCTCACAGACACATATGGCTGGACTTTTAAATCAGCTCTGTTTTTCTGCCCCATGGTCCAGTGGGGCTTTTGTCCTCGTGTGTACTGGCCGTATCTTCATGTACTTCCAGCCATTTTTAAACGCACGTTTATATGGTCCGGCTCTATTATTTATGATGTTGTATAATGTTTTCTGCTGAATTCCCCTGAGTGGCTGTAGGTAAAAGGAATAGGCTAGTAGCTGCTTCTTTATGTTTTATGAAACATCTGATCTTGTTTGTGTATCAGTAAAATAGTATGCCTCCATGAATGCATTAGCATGTTAACTCTTACGGCTACGTTCACTCTGCAGGTAAAGCAGCCTGAATCCAGTGTGTTTCTTTTTATTTTTTATATTCAAACCTAACCCTGGTCTTTTTCATATGTGGTACTAAATTGATTACATATTTGATGTTTCTCGACGCGACCTCAGTCTGAACCGTCATGTCTCATTTCAATTGACTTTTACATCAGTGAGGTATGCCGATCGATTAAAGTATCAACATTCTGTACCAACGTAATACAGTTTAAATCTTGAAAATTTGAATGTTTTAAGCTTCAGAACAGAAGTCCAGTTGCTTTGTCTTGGTTCATTTAACTTGCCATGTCCTGTATAACTGAGAATCTACAGCAACATCTGATACCAATGTTGATATCGGATTGGATCGTTGCTCAATGCACAGTGGGATCAATACTTTAGTGAGTCCCGTCAGTAAGTCGCTCCCATTCCAAAAACACAATGCCACGCTAGAGAAGCTATCAAGAGGAAACGTAAACACTAGACCAATCATGCATTTCAAATAATAATTTAATCTGTTCTGATTTCACGACTTCAGAATCGACACAGGCTAAAATGTGTAGCATCCATATTGACTTCTGTTAACACAGCGTGCTGCGTGTGACGTCACGACTTCTGCACATGCAGGTCTCTTCAGGGCCATCGAGTGTTCACACTATTCGCATTTAAAATAATGTGAGTGATCACACCAAAAGATTTTAGATCTGTGTAAAATTTAAAAAAAAACCTGACTTGAGCATTAAGATCTGCAGTGCACACCTCAGTAACTTATTACAAAGGGGATGATGAAGCACACCATCAGTGTCAAAATTCTTATTTGGCCACATTTTGTTTCTCAAGTGATTCATTTTGAATGAAATAATTATTAAATTAATGTTTCTGTCTAACTGTAGCTGTAGAAAAGACAAAGCAGCGCTGCCACCATAAATGGAGAAAGAGTATTTGCACCCCTCTCCTTCACTAAGTTCTCCTCTTCTTTTCTACACCCTTCTTTGTCCTGCCTGCTGTCATCAGCTGCAATAGGGCCCCTAGGGACGAGCGGCCCGCCACTCAAAGAGTCTTGGCACAGGAAGACAGGTTCGTATCCGTGGTGATGGCTCTGTGTATCCGTGGTGACAGGTGTGTCCGTTCAGAGCGGACGGCGGTGTTTGTCAGGAAGTGTTTAGATTGGGTGCAGGGCCCAAAGGCTGCTCAGGTGTTGATAGCTGTGAAGGGGGTGCGTTCAATGAAGCCATGTTTGCTCATGAGTTGTTTGTCTGTCAGGGGCTGTCAGGATATGAGCGCGCATGTGTGTGTGTGTGTTTTTTTTTTTTTTTACCATTTTTGGAATAATTTTCTAAAACTGAAGTATAGAAAAAAAGTGCAGTCTTTACATTGGTTCAAAGTGATGTCATACATAATGTCGAGCAGGTGTCACTCAGACAAGTGTAACATGGTACATGTAAACCATGTTTTCTTATGTCAAACAAACTCCTGCTTCTTTGACACCTTTCATTCGTGTGCAAGCACGGTTCTTGGAGAGGAAAAAAAAACTAGATTTTTTACACTTTCCAACAAAGAGATTTTTTTTTTTTTTTAACTGAGATTCGGTGCATTTGTGTAGATTTGACAAAATGCTGTGGAGCGGCATATACTTTACACACATCAACCGAAACAGACTTGAAGCAACAACAACAAAACATCAAAGTTCATGCTCAATAATCCAGCAAAGTTCAGTCAGGTCATCTGGATTGTTTCTTTTTTTGTTGAGACATTTCGTCCTTCATCCAACAACAACAAAACAGTTTTTATAATATTTTTTGACATCTGACTCGCTTACTCATTCAACCTTTATTTAGACAGGTTAATCCCATTGAGCCTCGGGGACTCATTCACAAGAGAGACTTACTTTGTTTCGACTCTGTCGCCATAACATTTTGATCCTGTGCTGCAAAGGTTAAAGACGGGAAGAAAATGGACATAAGTGTCAAATGGGGAAAAAAGCTTCAGTTGTTTGAGGATAATCTTTAGCCAGTCTCTGCATGTTTGTCATTGTTTTTGATGTCATTGTCAGCAATACTGCCACCTACTGGCACAGCATGGATGTTTCAGTGTTTTTGTTAGACTTTCTCTTTTTTTATTTACTTTATTCAAGCAAATGACAAGTATACAACAAACAAATGAATGGAGTATACAGAAGAACACAACACTTAAATGAACAAACAACCAGGAGTGTTAATTAGACGAATATTTGCCAAAACTTACAAATATAAATTGTCCTAAGGGCCTTTTTGTTGGTAGAGTCTGTTATTCATTTTACGTATAGTTCCACATCCTTAATAAAATGAAGAAAATATGGTGTTTTGTTAATAAATTTACATTTATGAATGTCAAATTTGGCCAAAAGATGTTGGACTTTCTCCATCAAATGAAAAAAAAAAAATTCAAATAAATGAAATTATCAAAATGTTGTAGTCCAGCGTTGTTAATATTTAAATACTTTCTACTCTCGGGCCACAGCATGAAAGTTAAGTTTTGTTTATGTCCATGAAGATAATTATTAAGCTTTAAAATAAAGACCTTTATTTTACATGTTAGCATTAGGGGCGTTTAGGAGTGGCTGTGGCTGAGTGGTTGGAGCAGTCGTCCTCCAGTGCAAGAGTTGGAGGTTCGAATCCACCAGCAGTCACACGTTGAAGTGTCCCTGGGCAAGACACTGAACCCCTCATTGCCTCCAGTGTGTGACCCTTCGGTGTATAAATGCGATAAAGCTCTGATTAGTCTCTTTAGAATGATTTGTTCAATTAGCTTTGTATAGATCTAGTAGAGTGCTGTATGAATGAGTAGATGAGGACACAGATTGTGTTGTAAAGAGCTTTGAGTGTCTTGATAAGATAGAAAGGTGCTATATAAGTACAGTCCATTTATATTAGCGTTTGGCTTTCTATGGTACTTGTGTAAACCCCACTGCTTACAAGTGACCCGTGCAATTTCTCTTCTTATTATTGTGCTTTACTGTCAAGTCTTTAGCTTTAAACTTTGGCATTTTAACACAACTGAAGTTTGCTATCAATGAAAAATGAAATACAGTGGTTAAAAAAAAAAAAACGAAACGAGCAGCACTCTGTTAATGTCCAACTGCAATCTTCATTCACTCCGATCGGTCTCCGCCCTGCGGAGCCACGCAGCTTCTCTCGACCGTCCCTATTCCTCCTCACTCTGGGGCTAATTGGCAGCAACGTTTTAATTCACCCCTCTGATACCCACCCTTCGTGTTAAGTGATGAATTGTTGGTTGGAGATCAAAGCAGACCTGTGCCCACTGTGCACCAGGCTCGTCACTACCTGTTGGCACACGTGAGCGTCGGGGCTGGGCTGGTGCCAAGGGGCTACAGGCCTGCACCACAGGGACTCACTGCCAGAAGGCAGGGGTCAGCAAGAGTCGGTGTGTGTTTGTGCGTGTGTGAGAGAGAGAGAATAGAAAGGTTGGGAGGATGATGTGTCTCTGTGCACTTCCTACCAGCAGATTGAATTTCACCTCTCTGTTGTGTCTCTTTGTATCCACCTGTCTGCATATCTCTTTCTCACACCCGCCCCTCTCTTCCTTCTTGTTGCAGGCCAACAGCAGGTTGAAGCAGATTGAGAAAGAGTACAGTCAGAAGCTTGCCAAGTCTGCCCAGGTAATCAGTTTTCTCCTCTGCCCCTTTCTCCTCTTTCTTTTATTTATTTATTTATTTATTTATTTTCCCACCCAACTGAAGAGACAAAATGGGGGAGAGGTGAGGGCGCTCACTCACTCCTGGACACAACAAAGCACGGTGGTTTTACCTTCTAAGGAGAGGCTGCTAAAGGAATAAATAATCCAGAAGCCAAATTTGAATCTTTTGACCTCTCTTTCATTTTACTGCTTGAGCAAAATTTTATTTAAAAAATCTTTAACTGGGCTTTACAGACGAATTATCTCGCTTCACACTTAATATTTAATACACAAGCAGCAGAAATCAAACAACTAAAAGTTATTTGCTGTTTCTGGAAGATAATTGGTCTTCAAGCTGATGTGTATGGAGACAGTTTGGTTATAGTTAATATATAAAATGTATAATTACAGTTTGTTTAGATGCCTCTGACAAGCAAAAATGGATTGCCTAATTTATGCTAGATTAAGATTTGTCTTAAATTGATCAGCGTGTGGTGTACTGTTTTAATGTAGTTTTAGTTCATATTCTGTTACTTTCTTATCCTCCATCAGTTCCTGTATATCTGCACTAGAACCAACTCATGTGACAGTATTTAATTTCCAGTTACCTTGAAAAAGACGTTGGAGATCAAGTTCAGACTAATCTTTGCCTTTTTCTGGGAGCCACAATGGTTGTTTTTTTTTCTTTAATGGTATATCAGTTAAATTTAAAAGCCAGAGAAGTTTAGTCAATGCTTAGTTGATTTTTGTTTTTTGTTGAATCTGACAATCTCGTCCATCAGTCACTTTCAGTTTTTTAAACTTGCAAAGATCCCTGTAATGCTTTTGTGTGACAAATTCGATGCGTTTAAATATAGTTTTCAAGAATGTCAAATCAAAGTGTTAATATAATGAACTTTTATTTTACAGCACCTTTTGAAACATTGTTACAAGGTGCTTAACAACCCTAACAAGTACAACCATTGGCACAGTGTAGAATTAAAAACATGAAACACACTGTGGCCAATAAGGTGAAAAATATTAAATATGATAAACGATAAAAACTAAAGGCAGTAATTATAATTTAAAATATTTAAAACATATCTATTCATTCAACCTTCATTCATTTGTCTCATTGAGTCACGAGGGCTCATTTTCAAGAGAGACCAGTTTTAAACAGACAACATATAAAGTACAGCCAACAATATACAACAATAAAAGGCAATTAAAAAATAAAAATTTGTGTTATACAGTAATAACAATCAAATCAACGTGTCATATAAAAAATGTAATATACTAAAAACAAGAACATATTTGCTTTGATTTTACTAATGACCTTATCAAATGTTTAAAATCCTTTATCAAAGCTTCAGTTCCTGTTGCAAGGGGGTCCAGGTTCCAGGAGCAGAGTAAGAAAAGGCCTTTTTGCCAAGTTCAGTCTGCACTGAGGGACCACTGCAGGTAATGAAGTCCTGAGAGTGCACACTGTAACTGCACTGCACATAGCTGATCTATGGTCTTTATGAGAAGACAGAGCTGAGAAAGCTCTTAACTCAAAGAACGTTAAAGCGAGAGTTAAAATTGAATAGTGAAGCAGTCAGACTAACTTTACTGCAAACTTATTCCATACAATAGGAGTCCTATTTGAGAAGATACGGTCACCTTTTGTCTTTATCTGAATAACTGACAGTGCCTTAGCGAAGGGTCTCCAAAAGCGATGACTTACCAACTGGACATTGTGGTGGTTGAAGGTATTAAGTAGCAGGAGAAGCTTAAGAAATATCAAGTGTTGAAGCTATGGAAAGTCCAGACCTCCGTGGTCCCTTGACCACTTGAAGCTTTGACCACAAAACTAGAAGTGTGGCTTCATTCAGTAGATCATCTGCAGGAACATCCTCAGATCTGACCTCAGAAAGATACTGCACAGAACCCTCAACTCCTAAGTCTCTGGTAGATGACCCAAGCTTAAAGCGGAACTGCCTGAGTGGAAAGAGTGAGCTGAGCAGTTATGGTGTACAGTAGTGTGTATACTCTGCCTGCTAACCCCCAGTAGTGCTTCTATTAGATCTACAGAGTATCTGCCGTACTTGCCGCCGTAAATGTCGCACCACCATATAAGTCACATCAGTCCTAATATGTCTAATAAAGTGGGAAAAAAACATAAATATGTCACTTCGCCATATAAGTTGCATCTATTATGCATCACCGCTGACGCGTCGCATTTGTTACGCGCCACCGCTGACAACCCGGAAATGTGGGCCAGTGTTGTGCCAAAAATTGATTGGCAGCCAAATGGCGGCTGCAGGAGCAGGGGTGGGAGGACTTTAACAAGAATTTAACTAAATTAACACTTAAAAACCATTATTTGTTTGCTTGAAATTATAGCAAAGGTGTGTCTCAGTTGAACTTTTCATTAATAAATGCACTTTAATGGTCAAATCAGCTGCATTTCACCTGTGCTGCGCAGCCAAATGCAGCTGATTTGACGTTTGCTCCAGGAGTTCCGGAGCGAGACAAATGTGGCTGGTATGGCAAGCCAAGTGTCTCATTAATAGCCACTTTTATCTATTAATGAGACACTTGTCTTGCCATACTAGTCGAGAGCCCTCTAGTGGCTGAAAATGGTAGTGTTCAATATTTTCCATGTCAGAATGAATGAAATCATGAGTTCTCAGCCAAAAATTGGGTTATAAATATGAGGACAAAAACATAAATACGTTCCTTCACTGTATAAGTCGCAGGCATGCTAATTTGTGCAAAAAACTGCGACTTAATACAGCGAAAAATACAGTAATACTTCTCAGCCTCTGTAACATCAAGAAGTAAAAATAGAAAGTAACCTAACAACGTCCGCATGTTTTCCTACTTTATGGTGTACATATATTTTTCTATACGTATATACTTTGCCTCATTTTGTCCTTGTAATTCCTGTTTTCTGCATCTTCTTACCTTTATCTCTTCTGTTCGTAGTATGCTCTGGCCACTTGCAACTGGGTCTCATGTGTTAAACATTACACGTGTCACCTCAGCCCATTTAAAGCTCAAGTAATTCTCCTTTCCAAAGTTACTTTAAACCTCTTTGCCATTCAGCAAAATGTCTGAAAAGTTCAAGCTGCTTTCCCACACCAGCTTAAAGATCTAAAACAGCCTAAGTAGTGTTTACACTACAGAAGAAAAAGGTTTTTCTTCTCGATTATGTAGCGGGCTAAAATATTACAATCATTTGACCATAATTGCACCTTGTTACTCAAAGAGGAGATTCAAAGGAGAGGGTTTTTGTTGTTTTTCTTTCTTCCCGTCTGTAAATCCCCCACCGTTTTTGAGTTGGCTGGCAAAAGCTCAGGGTTGAAAGCGAGGTTGACAAGCAGATGTTGTAAGAAAACGGTAGCTTATTCGGTTACACAATGCTCAGCTTCAAAAGAAGTCGGATGCTGTGTGAAAGTTCAGCCATGTTTGCCCGCTTTACTGATGATGTGTGCCACTGCAGACAAGCAGTCATGATTAATCCTGTTTTTTTTGTTTGTTTGTTTGTTTGTTTGTTTGTTTGGGTTTTTTTTGGGGGGGGGGGGTCGGCGTAAAGATGGCACACATTTAAGTAACACTTTCGTATTAAAATTAATCCTCTATGTGCAAAATTTAAAATCTTTGTTTTAGTGTGTTATACAGAGAATTGTGCAGAACATGAAGTTTATTTGCCAAAATAATAATATGCTCAATTAATTCAGTGTTTGTGTTGTGGGCTTTCATGGACTTGTTGTGGAAGGTAAAGGTGGAGCCACATGGGGGAGGGGGGGGGTAGATGGGGTGTCTTTTCCCTTTGAGGCAGCTCAGTCAAATGTAAACAAGAGGTCTTTTAAACTCTAAAGCTAACCCCAGTTGTTAACCTCTTAGTATTTGACAGAGGGCATCGCTCTTGAGCTCAGCTGCATGGTTAATAGCCCAATTAAAAGCATACCATGCCATACATTATCCTGGGGGGGCTAAAAAACACACCTTGCTATCTCATATGTATGCCCACACATAGCCTTCTCTTTTTGCTTTTGTCTCCATTTCTCTTCCATTCACTCACACACACCCAGATGCTCCTAATTAATGTCTCTCAGATTTGGTTGTGTGTGTGTGTGTTGAGCATCTCGCTGTGAGTGGTCCTCCGGGGTGACCTGTGAACTGAGCAGGGCTGCGCTCTCTCTCCCTACTTAATGATCAGATTATAGTGGGTGGTATCTGAGGTTTCTGTGAGAGATCATTACTTTATCCCCGATCGTCCACCATGGGAGTACGTTGGAGGTGGGAGTTTTCCATAGCAGGAGCGGTGGATGGGAGTTTAAAGTTCACATGCAAATATATCTAATTAATTTTCTTTTTATGTTGGTTTTTAAGCATCAGTGCTCGCATGTGACCTTTTGGGCATGTGTTAACCAACTCGAATCTTTCACGGTGTTTATTCTTTTTGTTCATTTCTTCAAATGTTTGACAAACTGAAATATTGCTGTTGGGCAAATATTTAGAAGGGAAGGGTTAAAAAAAATTTTTTTTTAGTACTTGGTCAGCAGCAAGAAGTATAAAACAGATTTATCAACACAATGGAGCGTTTTGCCAAAAGAAAGTTATTTTTCATTAAAACAATGCAAAGCGTAAAATTAGACTACCGATCATAATAAAAATTAATAATCTAGTGAATAATCCCCGTGCTCTATAGAGATAAAATGATGGTAAGATATGTCACTTATTGAGGTTGTAAATGTTACAACAGGGTGAAACAATTGTAGCAAATGATGTTTGGTCTGGCCGGCCTCCCGCCTCAGCTCCACTCTGAGTGGAAGTGAGGGAAACACAAGTTAATAATGTCCGTGAGTGAAGGAGCGAACTTCCATCTTCTTCCCCAAGCTCACTCCGATTTATTATAAATTTACACAATTATAAAATCATACAATAAACTTTCCTCAGTCAATGTAATTATGTCTCAGTGTCCTTTAATTATCCTACGACATCAAGAGCCCTCCACTTTAGTGGGTAGAATACATTCTCCTCAAGCCTGGCAGCAAAAGTAAGATCAAAGTATTTCGCACATAAATCAATTCAGATATCATCTATTTACAATAAATACCACAATTTTCCCAAGTGCAATAATATTCTAAACATACACATTGCTTTACCAATTCCCTTGAATTGTTGTTTTATTGAAAGCAATAATCATGTTAACATGCATAATTAAATATAGATGTCTTTAAATGACCATGTATACTTCAAGCACTCACCTGCTTGTTAACTGTATGACTGACGGTAGAACTAACCAGTGAGACTGATTACACAATGAGGAAAATGATAAAGAAACTCCTGTTCAACATATAGCTTAAAACTTCTACTCGTTCAACATTCTTCTTTTAACATTAATAAAACACAAAACACATGCCCGGATACCTTTATAACCTTATTACAGTTGGATCAAAGAGTGTAACCCCACCCGCCGATACACGTAACGGTCAATGCTTAGTAGCTGCTAATGCTAGGTAGCCGCTAACGCTTATTAGCTTCTGCCGCCGTTACGACAGAACTCGCTCCATTACACATCTGAACATGTGACCACAAACTCGATACCGATCTTATCAAAGAGTGTAACCCCTCCCACCAATACACGTAACGGTCAATGCTAAGTAGCTGCTAATGCTAGGTAGCCACTAACGCTAAATAGCTTCTGCCGCCGTTACGACAGAACTCGCTCCGTTACACCTGAACATGTGACCACAAACTCGATACCTATCTTATTCACTACTTCACACTTTAGGAGGGACAGTTTTCACCTGTTTCACACATTACTAACCTGGAAACACGAGTTAATAATGTCCGTGAGTGAAGGAGCGAACTTCCATCTTCTTCCCCAAACTCGGTTTGAGCAGGGAGGGGGAGAGTTCCTCACTTGGGCATCCTGGGAAACGGCATCCATCCTCCTTTAGTTCGGTCCTTTTTCCCTTTTAGTTTTGACACTATTTCAGTCACTTTCAGTCCCAAAATAGATTGTTGAAATTATACATGTATTTGTCCCTTGCAGGTAACAATAAAATTATGTAATAATTTATATTCTTGATTTTCTTGTCTTGTAATAAACAAATAGTGGATAAAACTCTCAAAACAGAGTGTATCGCATAAAGGCACTATTGCTATTTGTCAAATGGACTAAAATGGCAGTATTTGTACAGCACAATGTGTGAAAATAAAATGAGCTTGAAACAGTTTCTGTGTTTATTTTACATTCTTGTTTTTACCTCAGTGTCTAAATTAAATGGCCTTAACAGCGATGGCTGACCTGCTTTTCATGTTGTTGTTTTATCTAATTTTATTTATAACAATTACACAGAGACAAATACATACTGTATGTATGCATGTATTTAAACAATGGAAATGTTCAAAACTATTTGTTTAAAGTTGTTGGGGTTTTTTTTATCAGGTGACTGACTGCTGTGCCAGCCACAAGGGTGTTCTGTGGATTATCACAATTCAATTCAATTCAGTTTATTTATATAGCGTCAAATCACAACAAAGTTGTCTCAGGGCACTTTACAGGAACATTCACATACATAAAAGCCAATTAGTAAAGTTCTCTATCTAAGGAGGCCAGCAGACAAGTTGAATCACGCAGATCAGTCCCTTGGATAGTGTTAAACTGACAAGATTACAGTGGCTATGTCATGGCCTTACAATAGTTTTCTACATATCAAAGTGGCTGCATCTGTTTTTTTAGTCAGTTTTTACAGTATTTAATCCACTTAATACAAATTTGACACAACCTGGACACATTACCTTTTCTGTAAGTGTTTCCATGTGTAATCGCACGTGATCTTTTTCTCAATGGTGAAATTCTTTTTCTGGTCTTAAATATCCTGAAATTTGTCTGAAAAGGGCAATAAACTGAGCACAGACTGCCCCCACCCCCCCACCCCCACCCCATTTCTTCTTGGTTCATGTTTACAGAACCTGCCTTTAGTCCTGAACAGAGATGCTAGCAAGCTTTGGAAAACGAACAGGTCTCATCAGCGCATTTATAGAGACACAAACAGACAGATGTGTTGTGTTGTTTGTTGACAGACAGTTGAGTTCAGTACATGAGAGTGCCACCACTGTTGGGGTGGGGGTGGGGGGCCTGGAGGACCAGCAGAATAAAAAAAAATCCATATAGCAGAATAATTGCTGTGCCCAGAAATGATGCTCCCACAATAATGTGCCATTTGTTGCTTTCATGTGGCTGTCCACATTAAGTCTAATCTCCGTCTCATGGACGCTCCACCCTCACTGTCTCTTTCTGTCTGCTCGACCCGGATCGCTGTAACTCCCACACTCCTACACGGCGTTCAGATTCCAGCGGGGGCTAGGTCCTTCAGAGTATGAACACAGTAAACAATTATCTGCCGAGGCCCAAAGCTAGCTGCAGCACTGCCCCCCTTCTCTTACCACCCCACCTTTTTCTCCCCCTCCCTCGCCTTATTTCTTTTACTCACTCTCATCTTTCCTCATCTTCTCTCTAACTGTGGCTTAAATAGAATGTTAATTTGGACTGGAGGTTTTCAAAGACGAGCCACTTCCTTTTCATCTTAGTGTGCACCGCAAGTTCACCAACACAAAGTGGCTTTGCTCCTCTTCTAAAGAGAAGTTGTTTTTTTTTTTCTTTCCCTTCTGCTTTTTTTAACTCCCTCTTTTCTTTCCCCGTCTTTCTTCTCTGTGTCTTCTGTCTCGTCTCTAAAAAAGACACGAGACTGGAAAAAAAGGTATTTCAAGGTGACTGTTTGCCATCCAGATCCCTTTTAGAAGTGAAATGTGGTTTCTTCTTTTCATGCAAGTCTTTTTGTGAGGCCAATGAAATGACTGGGACCAGACCAGCATTTTGTTTAGTGAACATATTTTGTAGTTTGTTTCTGGCAATAAGTTTAATTTTTATTATTTTGCATAAACACATTAATGGGAACAGGTATTTGCTCATCAGTACAGGTTAGTGATCGGCCTTTCCAGTCTGGTCTCTGTGAGTCTGTGAGGATCAAACACGTTTTTGAGCGTCTCTGTTTCTCATTTTATCCGCCAACAGCTGATTGCAGAGCTGCAGACTTCTGTATGCGACTCAAAAGAGGAAGCTGTTCGTTTGCAGCAGGTGATGGAGAAGCAGCTGAAGGAGGTCAACGCTCGCTGGGATGAAGAGAGACAGACAATTACCCACCATGCCGATCAGGCCTGCAAGGTTTGTGTGGGCACCTTCATTTCTTCACATTCAAATATATTGTTTGATAAAATGTGTTTGCTTGTTGCATTTTTATATAGTTTATAAAGTGAATAAATGTACCAAGTTTTAAAAAGTGCTTCTTCACTACACATCACCTGAGTTTGGTTCAGTATAATACATGGGAAATTATGTAAATAATTTAAAAACCACACAATAAACCCAAAAACCATGTTTGTAAGAAAAACATTTGCCTTCTTAAGCTGCCGTTCACACAGGAACAGTGTTTTAGCAGCACCAAAATGTGGATGATGTTTCCAGGTTATTTTCACTCTGGACAAAAGAAAATATGTTTTGCATTTACATACAGACCAGCAAAATGTAATCTTTTGAAAATTATGTTATAGCCCCACCTCTAATGTAATAACTACATTATCTAGTTGCTCAACAGCAAAACCTTCTTATTGTGTCCAATAATGGTCAATCAGGTCATCCGGACAATTCTTTTTTTGTGGAAAGACGTTTCGCCCTCTGGACAGAGGGCTTCGTCAGTCTGAGGAGTCCCAAGTAAACTGTTTTCCCCACTAAACAGTACACTCCTTTAGTGGACCAACCCATTTGCTGGTGATAAGATGGTTTCTGGGGGCTTTCCTGTCCCCCGTCAGCTCCTCCCAGGCAGTCAGCCACACACAGCCAAAGTGGTTCAAGACATCAAAGTTCATGCTCATTCATTCAAGTACAAAATCCAGTAATGGTCAGTCAGGTCTTCTGGACAGTTTCTTTTCTGTGGAAAGACGTTTCGCCCTCTATCCTAATCACCAGCAAACTGGTTGGTCCACTGTTTTCCCCACTAAGCAGTGTACTGTTTAGTGGGGAAAACGGTTTACTTGGGACTCCTCAGACTGAAAAAGCCCTCCAGATAGAGGGCAAAACGTCTTTTCACAAAAAAGAAACTGTCCAGATGACCTGATTGACCATTATTGTATTTTGTCCCTGGATGACTGAGCATGAACTTTGACTTCTTATTGTGTAGTACTTGAATTAGCAGACAAGGATGATGAACAATGATGTACGCCACAAACTTGACACACATAGAAGGATAACTAGATGAGGAAGAGGGAAAAACTTTGGGGTTTGGTGTTTACAGTCTGTACCCATCAGGGGTGTCAAACTCACTTACAAAAGGGGGCCAACATTAAAACCTTTTTCAAACTGAGGGCCAGTTTCAGAATCTACAATAACTCAAGTTACTGTAGGTCCCCAACATCTTTTCTTGGTTGCAGGTTCCTCAACAAGAGTTTGATTGGTCTCATTTGATGTTTTCTGTTGCACTTTTGACATCATAATCAAAGATTACTGAAAAAAATAAAGTGACAAAAGTATTTTAAGTTTAAAATATCATCTTGGGGGCCAGATAAGATATCAACGAGGGCCACATTTGAGTTTGACACGTCCAAGACAAATTTCCCCTTGGGGACAATGAAGTGTACATCTATCTACGTGCTGTAAGCTTTACAGTTGCAGATTCAGAGCTCCACATACATGTTAGCATTTGTTACTACTGTATTTTGGTTCGTTTTTGTGGTTTCCAAGTGGATAAGAGACATTCCTCGAAGCAGTGGCACGTTTAAGAAAGTTAAAAGATTTTTTTATTTTTAAACAACAAAAAGATTGTTTAGGAAAATTCTGTGTTTCGTGCGCTTTAGGCCCCACTCATTGAGTGCATTAGATACACCGCTAACTTCTGACAACGTTTGATCGATCATTACACACGCAATAAATAATTCCATAAATTACAACTTTTTACTGGTGGTTTTAAAAAGCATTCATTCACTCAGTTTGTTCCACTTAAAGTTAAAGTTGCCTTCGGCCGTCACAAAGATTTCAAATAAAGATCATCAAAGCTTTCAAAGAGAAGCAAACAGGACTTGCTTGTACGTCCAAAGATTTTACACCAATGTGTCATAGAAAGCTTTGCTCATAATAGCAAAACAATGTCACAATATTCTTTTCTTACATTTTTTTTTTTAGTCTGAGCCAAATAAATTACAGTTTATATAACAATGGCAACCATAACAATTCAATTCAATCCAGTTTATTTATAGAGCGCCAAGTCACAACAGAAGTCACCTCAGGGCACTGAACAGAAACATTCATATATAAAAATAATCATTTAACACTATTTATCTGTTAACACACAGATGGACATGAAGTAATCGGTTAATTATGATGTTTGCATACACCTCTAGAATAAATTCTCAGGACTTTAAACACTGTATCAAGACGTTACCAACATTGAAAACTTCAGTTTGAGTAAAGAAGTTGTTTTAAAAGACTCACTTTTGTGTTTTTGGCACATTTTAGCTTCAGGACTGTATGTTTGTGGCGCTTGCATCAAATTGTATAGACACATATACTTTATTAAAAAGTCTCCATGAGTTATTTGTTAAAAGTTTGAGTATAACCACTTGTTCGCCTATATGCTTTTTGTCTTGTTTTGCTGGTCTCTAACAATGGCAGATGTTGAGTACATCTGCAAACTTCATCCTCTTAAAAAAAAAAAAAAAAAAACATTTCTGTCTGGGTTTGACTTTACTGGACTAGACACGGTCGCTCTTCTTTTGTAAAAGCCCACTCACTGTTTGCATGTGCTTTGTCATTTTATGGCTAGTTGCAAACTATATAGTGTCTTTAAGTAGATAGTATGCTTTGTGTCTGGCTTAGGCTCGTAAATCTGTCTGCTGCACCCCGTGACCCACGTCAGGGACGCTCTTTATCATTACTGTCATCTCTTTTTTTCACAGTCAAAACTGACACTCAGACTTAAGTATGCTTTTGATTCAGTTCATCTTCAACGTGTTTAAAATCTATTGACAAAGCAACATTTTGTTTAAAGTTTTTTTTAAGTCTTAACCCCAGTTAAGTCGGATAGCTTTTTGTTGTCGTGGTATCTTTTATTCTGCCTTAACTAGACTGGAAGATAGTTGCAGTGGAAGTTGATTGGGTGTGGTTCACTAAATAAAGAGTTGTTGTGTCTGGGATCAGTACATGTTTCTAAACACAACTTAGTCTGTTTGTGGCGGCTGCTGCCTCATATAGAAAAAAAGCAAATCTGTGAGGTTCCTCTAAGACTTCTCCTTTCAGGCCCTGGTAGCCCAGGTACACCTAATCTTTAGTTAATTTGTGTGTGCGTGTTTGTTTTTATTACTTAATTTAATATGAAACAACGAATGTTAAATCCTATCCCTAACATTCACGTTTTCAGTTTTATTTGTACATGTTTATCCACTATGGCCAGTGGTAGTTTATGCAGTCCGGACAACAGCTTTCAGTTTCCATTTTTAGTGTCTTCATTATTATTATCGCCTCTGTTAACCACACACTAATGAGACCCCAATTAATGGTTGTATTTCATAATAAAGACCAGACAATTTGGGGTGGGGTGGAAAACCAGCAGAGATATGGTGAATGATACAAGTCAAACAGGAAATAAGAGTAAAAATAAGATTTGATGTCAACTTGAAAAAAAAAACCGAGGAAAGAAGTGAGATGACAAATAATGATGAAGAAACAAGAACAGAGGGCAACAAAAGGGTGAAGGAAGTGCGAGAGATGATACTATGGGGGTAGTGAAGAGCTGTCAGTGGGCCATTGGAGGGAGTGTGTCGCCCGCTGACATTGTTTCCATGCTGCTCACTTCAAAGGACTCGGATTATGAAGAGAGCGAGGGGTTTCAGACAATGGGAGGGGAAGAAAATAACATCAAAGTTAGCCGCACATTTGAATTGGGATAATCCCAAAACAGTTGTTCTGAATGCATGCTGCACTAGATCAGATGTCCTTTTTTTTCCTTGCCAGCCCCATTCTGCTTTTTCTAGCATGAATTTAACTTCCTCTGTGGCTTGACTGTACTTGGACCTCTTAAATGTGGGTGTTAGCTGCTGAAACCTTCTCGTTAAAGCCCTTTTTTAGAACATTAGAAGTAGTTAGGTACGATCTTCGTTTTTTCTTATGTGATATTTAGTTGTTTTAGTATTTTGAAAGCTCTATCTTGAAAGAAAGTTGTCCTTACGCTAATTCTCTTTCTGTTTTATATCTCGGTTTGTCAATTTGTCTTCTGTTCTATTGGTCTTGAAGTAAAGTCCAAAACCAATTCTACAACAGCAACTTACACATCAATTTATTTTTTCATGGTCCACGTTTGAAGAATGATGAACAAGCAGGAAATGTTGGTCTTATAACAATGCTGTGTTTATGTGGAACTGTACTGTGGTACATATGACTAGGAGGGACACAAAGTGGTGCATTACTGATACACGGACTAAAAATCCATCCATTATCTTCTGCTTGTTCGTAAGTTGGGTCGCGGGGCAGCAGCTTGAGCAGGGAGGCCCAGACATCTCTTTCCACAGCCACCTCTTCCAGCTCTTCTGGGAGGATCCCAAGGCATTCCCAGGCCAACCGAGAGACATACCGTATTTTCTGTCGTACACGTCACACCGGTCGCACCGCCCTATAAGTCGCATCAGTCCAAATATGTCTAATAAAGTGAAAAAAACATAAGTCGCTTCACCATATACATTGCATCTATTGTGCGTCACCGCTGACGCGTCGCGTTTGTTACGTTGTTACGTGTCACCGCTGACAACACGGAAATGTGGTTCGATGTTGTGCCAAAAATCGATTGGCTGCCAAATGGCAGCCGCTGGATCGTGCACAGGAGGACACACTAACAACACTTAAAAACTATTATTTATTTGCTCAAAATTATAGTAAAAGTGTGTCTCAGTCTAATTTTGCCTTAATAAATGCATTTTGACGGTCAAATCAGCTGTATTTTCAAAAGCCGATGTGCAGAAGCGGGAGCGCACAGAGGGATGACTCGCTGTGCATTTCTTCGAAATTTAAACAAGATAACTACCTAAAAACAATAGTAAAGGTGTGTTTCAGTTTAACTTTTACTTAATAAAAAGACTTTAAGGTCAAGTCAGCTGCATTTCAAAAGTATTCGCTGCCTCGTT